TAAAAAAATATAAAATAAAAAAATAAAAAAATATAAAATAAAAAAATAAAAAAATATAAAATAAAAAAATAAAAAAAATATAAAATAAAAAAATAAAAAAAATATAAAATAAAAAAATAAAAAAATATAAAATAAAAAAATAAAAAAATATACTGTAAAATAAAAAAAATAAAAAAATATAAAATAAAAAAACAAAAAAATATAAAATAAAAAAATAAAAAAAAAATATAAAATAAAAAAATAAAAAAATATAAAATAAAAAAAATAAAAAAATTTTTATTATGAGAGCATAAAAAAATTTTTGAGAACATTAAATTAAATAAACATGTTCTTGTGAGAACATAGATTTTAATATAGATTTCCTACTATATATATAATATTTATATAATTATCTAATAAAGATATAAGAATAAGAATAATAAATAAAATTTAATTCGAAACAAATACGTCACTAATTTTTATTCGAAATCAGACAGTTTTTTAATTGCTGTTGTATAGCGATTTAAAAAATTTTACTATACCTATAGATATAAATTAATCACGTCACGGGTAAGTCTTTGTGCTTTAGTGTAACGATTAATTCAAATAATAAGCGACCATAATTTGCATTCGGAAGCATTGACTCTTAAATATAACAAAATTATGAATTATGACGACGCTACCACCAAACCGGACGCCTAATGGGACGAGTAATCGAGAAGTTAGTTTCAATGCTTATTTTTGTAACGTATTAGTCTTACCGCTATTTACATTTGCTTATGTTGATTCATTTTCAAGTACTCAGAAGCAAGAACTGTTATATTACTCGTCAAGAAACCCAATTTTACACAAGTCGATCACCATAAATGGCTTCTTAAACGACTCTTTAAACCTCTTCGTTACGAAAAAGACGAGGTATGTTTAAATCAATATAGATTCTTTTTGCTCAATAATAGTTTATAAAGTAATCGTACCTCTTTCAAAAATGTTTACAGAACATTCAAGTTTTGTACGTATCAAATACAAAACTCAGCACTCTAATTAGATCTCAAAATGAAAGGAAAGCAAATGATGTGTACACACCGCAGAATTTACCTGATCTTCAAGAGGACGGTGAAATTTCTTATAAACTAATGCCGAATACTCGTATTATCACGTTATGTACAAAATATCGTATGATATTTCTTTTGGATGTTACAACTTCATTGGCAACTATTTATTATAACAACACAAAGGGCGTGCTTATATCCGAAGCAATAAAAGTGTATGATATATATATATATATTGCTTAAGATTTTTATATTTTGATAATCTTATATGGATATGCATATTTTACAGCCTATATCGGTGTATTGAGGGTCTTGTGCAGCCTTTTATTATTCAAGACTTGGATAGAGATAAAGCATTGCATGTTAGTATCACATGCTTTTGAATTTCAATAGTGTGCTTAATTTATTTCCTATTCTATTAAATAGTTTGAACCCGAAATATCGATTACCGTTATAGCCGAAAGTTCTCATTTCGCATCAAACGCAAATTTACTGCCTATGATTAGGGACTTTCCGACTATGAGAGTTCTTTTAAATGGTGTTATCGTGACAAAAAACAATGTGACTGATATAATCAATAATCTGCACACAGAGCTCACTAATTTTCAACAAGAGGTGGCGGAATTGCGGCAAAGGCTTTGCAGGGCTAAATTTCCAGTAGCATATGAGATGGACGTGATTGGATCAAAGACTGAAGATGATGTTGATGCTGATACTTTTATGGATAATAAAAAAAACTTATGGAGATTGGGATCGAGTGGCGCAAATCTTGTTTATAGTCTCAATGCTGGTTTATTTGCTAAGAGCTTACTACCTGATGAAGGATTTCCTTCTTTAACTATTATTACAGATGGTGTTGTTAAATCAACTCTCGATCACATGTCTGCGGATGATGACATCATACAACAACTTTGCAAAGAGGGCATAAGATGCAATATCATTCAGGTTGGATCGCATCAGGGATTTGATCCATGTTGCAACTTTGGATTACTTCCTGACATTGAGGTTCTTCAATTTGTTGCTACAGCAACATCCGGCGTTTTCCTATATTCTGAAAAATGTCCAGACATTTCTGATATTAATTCATCTAATTCATCCCTTTCGCAAAGTGAGCATCGCTCATTCAACTTTTATCATGAACAAATGCTTATTAGGGAGACGCACTTTGTCAAAAAGAGAAATCAAGTGAGATATTTGAATAGTGCTAGTGATTGTAATTCGTATAATTTCCCTTGGGATCCAAGAAGCCAACCTCCTGAGGCTGAAGCTATGCCTGCACGATTTCTAGAATATTCTATATTTGTCGATGTCCAACAGCTCATATCTATACGAATGCGTCATGGATTCAACGTTGATAATATAATTTTGAGTCCAGGAAAGGGTAATAATAAGGCAGAGGTGATTACTATAGCAATGTCGAGACTTTGGTTACCAGATGTTACTATTCAGTATAAAATTAAAGGACAATGGACTGGTGAACTGAATGGATTATCTCGACTTAAAGCTCCTAGGATTGAGATCCATGTTCTTGCAGATACTGAGTTAGATATCTATCTGCTTAATTTTCAAACTGCTCGACAAAATAATGATCCGAATCACCCGCTTTTTTGGAAGTTCACGAGATTATATAATTTTTTGACAACTATCTTAGAAACTGATGAGCTTCTCAAGAAGCTTAAAACTCCTAAAGACAATAACAGGTTACAATTACAACGTTCAATTGCACCAATGAATAAGTTGGAGGTTTTAAAGCAATTATGGAATACTGAGCAGAGTTCTCGTAATATTAATTTTTGGTATGATGACGCAAAAATTGATTTTTTAATATCAACGGAAACATTACAATCAAACATGAATTTGGATATGTCTTCTGAAGCTAAACATATTTCAGCAATAATTGAAGAACGATTAGTAATAATCAAAAAGTATTTATCAAAATGGTCTACATTTACTGCATCAGAAAATGTATTTGTGAAATTCTTTAACCAATTGGATACTGAAAAAATATCACCAATCAGTTTTTGCGAGCTAAGGATTAAGCAAGAAGTTGGCTATCTTGTCACAATAAAATTTTCTTTTTTCAATGTTGACAATTTACGCCGTCAAAAAGAGATGATTTATATAACCAATTTAATTAATGATCTCGACGGAAAGAACGATAAAAACAAAAATTATAATATTTGTCGGAGACCTTTGTCTTCGTTCTTCGTGCGTAATATTGATTATGAGCTTAATGAAAAGGACATCTCATTAGATCGTCAGTTTACAGGCAGAAATTGCGTAATCAGGTCTTATTTAAGACATTCTCGATGGTCTTGGTTATCAGACCTTGAAAAAGATATTTCTCTAATAAATAAAGGGATTATAACTATACAAAAATTAGCTTTTCAGTATCTCTGTCAAGCACGATCTGATGAAGATTTTTTATTGGTTTTCGAACATAAAAATAAAAAAATTTTCTATCATGAATTAGAATTCTCAAAGGAGGACTCAGATACTTCATCTGTAGATCAAAAAATTGTATGTGGTGTACAACATCATATTTTTATTTCTGATACCGAAATAATAACAGAACTTTGGGTAGAACCTTTACAACATTCCCAAATGAAAGTTCTTTATGAATCATTTGCCAATAAAATATTTGCTGCGGATAGATTGAAATTATCACAATTAGTAACATTTGATCAAATTAGTTATATCGCAAGGTCTCGTGCAAAACAACATCCTCAGACTTTGGCCTTGTCTACACCAAAAACGTTTAATCTGTCAAAATTATTTCAATTAGTTGTATTGCTTCGCTCCAGTGGGTTAATCATCGCAAATTACAATCTTCCTTTATTTTTGTATGGACAATCCAATTATAGTATGTCACAACGTTCTGCTATTAGTGCGCAACAGGCTGAAAAATCAATTTCTTCTGGAAATAATGATTCGAATTACAATGATTCTAGAGTTAAATCAGAGAGTAGTCCTTATCTAAGACATGGTAGCATTAGTCATAGGAGTTCACCTTTTGAAGCGACTACGCAGAGAAAACTTTCTATTTCCGTTCTTGATTTCAATAAAGATATGGCCCATTTCGTTGATCGAGATTTAATTGCAAAATTAGAGCCATCTGATAAGGATTTTGCTTTACTACAATTGTTTATTGAGAAAAATTTGAGCAAGTATGCTGATGGTGAAGTTGACATGACTATCGATAATTGTAAAGATTCAGTTATTTTGAAAAACATAAACAACGGACTGTCAATGACTGAATTACTGAAAGACACTATGACGACTGTCGCGTATGCGTTAAATCTTCACGAGACTCGATGCTTTATTAAAATCGTGAACTCTGGTTCATTCCTTCTTATTTTCATACCTTCTTTTAAAGTATTGTTGGATGCGATGGTCCAACAGAATGGTATATGTACAGAAAATAAGATTACATATTTTGGGATACTAATATTTTTGTGCAAACGACCAGAACCATCGCTTGGTAACTATCCCCGTGAATCTTCCTATGTAAACCGCGATCAACCACTTGTTTTCGAGCCTATAAGCATTATTCATAGTAGTTCAATTCTGGCGAATAGTCCATTGGATCCAATATTACTTGGTTGCTCTTTTCCTGAATATCCCATGAATTTTACTAGTTCTGATATTTCCAACCTGGTAGCAAAAGAAATTCACAATGTTACAAAAATATATGCACGTGGATTTATTAGATCAATATACGCTAGTGTTTTACAGAAACATAAAATCACAAAAAACGATTTCCGCAAAGCAATTGATTCATGTGCACACTTTTATACGGATATTGATATTACTGGATATGTCAATGTTCATGTACAGGCATCTCGTCAGGATTCAGATTGGTATGTTTACGAAACTTTTTAAATTAGAAAGATTAGGGCTCTAACATTATTTTACTTTTTATAGTGAAGATGCAAACGACATCTACCAAAAATTTGTCGCCGTGCTTGGTTATTACTTTGAACCGGTTACTTTTGCTGATTGTGAATCAGAAAATAGTTATTATTATTATCGACCACCATTCAAAAAATCAAGTAATTCATCAGCTGACACTCATGATTACGTCACAGACATCCCTGGAAGCTTTTTAGAGACCTTCACCTGCGCAGAAAATCCGCTTTTCATTCGTTTAGAGTGTATTTTTAGGAAACCCACGAAGACCATCCCAAAAACTGAGGATACAAATCTAAATCATATTGGGCCTGATGCAGGGAAAACTGAGCCTGATAAATTTGTCCAATTTCCCATCTCTATTTTGCCAACATCTTATTCTTGTGTTATTGATGGAATATCATGTGACTTTTCTCCCGAGTCTATTGGAACAGATGTGTCACCGGTGGAATCTTCTGATGGCACCAAAGCAACTTTGCGTCTGATATGCTTGACTTTGCCTCAATTTCACGAAGCCAACAATTCCCGTTCGACTGAACATAAAAATGATTTGGGCCAAACAAGGTTATTAGCTATCTTTGACCTAAGTAATGTCAAAATAACACATTAATTAATCTTTAGCTTTACCTTTACAGTACAAATTCAAACAAGTTTTTGTATGAATGTCTCAGTGATGATAAAAAGGAGGCTTTAAATGAAACTCAAAGTCGCATCGATTGGCTTACGAAAGAAGAAATAATGCATATGCTCTTAAAGTCACAATCTGTCGATCGTTCATTATTATCATTTATTCAAACGCAACTACGAAACAAAAATCCTTTCGTGGATTTCCCAACAACATTCAACATTCCTTTATCATTTGTTCGTCGAAAACACGGAAAGCCTGGTCATGAATTATTTCTGGAAGCATTAAGCAAAGCAGATATGAAGCCATTTACACTAAATAAAGTTGAAGATTGTTTCTATATTAGCGAGGATGATGAAATTGGAGAGTCTTTAGTGTCTACTGACAGTAGATGCGAAGCTTCTCCTATATTTGGAACAGCTCTTGATGATGGTGAAATAACCGAACAATTAGTCCCTCAAGTTCCTGTGTTTGATGATTACCCTGATGATGGAGATGATGGACTTGGTTCAGGTCTCGGAATTAGCATTGGTATTCCTGAGGAGGATGATGATACACCAGATCTCGCTTTAAAGTCAATTAAGCGGAATGTCATCCACAAACAATTATTCTGGCTGCTTTTTATACCTCAAGAAACTAGCATACAAATGTATTTTTACTCTCAAGCAATATCTGCGAAAAAACGATCCGACATTATTAAGCATGTACGAAGCTGTGTTATACAAGTGTCCGAACGTGTTAATAGAATAATTTTATTGACTGACCTTAATCATACCCATAATTGCAGGTGAGTTGCAATTTTATATAATAATAATAAAAAAAAAAGTACACAGCGCTCATTTTATGGTCTTTTGTGAAATTAGTAAATACTTGGTACCACCTAATCCTGATGACTCTTCAGATTCTGAATCTTCATCTGAAGATAATGATTTATCCACTGGAGATAATTATTTGGTCGATGTACTTTCAAAAACACAAGACGACGATGGCCAACTTAACGTTTCTAAAAAGTTCAAAGTGGGTCAATTCGAATGTCCTTTGGTGTTTAAACAAAAATTTCCGCTTCATTGGCGATTAAAACCGAATAATGCTATAAGGGGAATTGAGTCTAGTGTTCTCAATTCATTCGCTGTTAATAACCGAAAGCATATGTTTGTCTATGCTAAAGAAAATTCTATTGTATATATCAAGATTTCGGAAGTGGACACTTCATCAACTTCGTCAGATTATGAGAAAATTGACGAAGCTTCTCGATCTGCGAGCTCCTCCCAAATTATCCATCCTACTAGCACTACTCAATCTGAAACGTCGTCAATTAACGCTGCAGAGGAATCTCGAAGATCTCCATCTAACAAAAGTGGTGGCAGTCCCAAAACCTCTACTAATGCTTCACCTGGTCGAAAACCTGCATCCCAACAACGTGTTTCAGAATCGAGGGAGTTAGTAGTTGAGGTCTTTGGAATAGATCCACCTGGCAAAGAGATCACAGAAGAATTAATGGCTTTGCTGGAAAATAAATTGATGACCAATATCACATTGACTGCTATGTCAACTTTTCTTGTTCGTAATCCTAAGTTCAACCCTACTCGGGAGGTATGCATTAAATATGTATTCTTTATCGTTACATTGTGCGAGCCATCTAGTCGCGTCAAATCAGTACCACTTTTATCTTCGGCGGCTATAAATACTTTACAGATCATTATGCGGGCACTTTTTAAAAATTTCACTTTACAATCATAAAAAAAAAATACGCAATTATCAAAAACTATTGAGTTACGTATTTTTTGGTAAATTGAGCATGTGGACATATATTTATTGTCTTTAGGTGACTCGCACCATACTTAATATTTTTGTATGTTAACTTAAATTTTTATGACTTGATGTATAGGATGTAGATTTCATTTTGCCAGTTATGAAAACACCTAACCGTCTTTGTTTAACTATTCCATCATCGATTAAAACTGTCTATACATTGTTGGTATATTTCAAGCAGAATTTATCTCATTATCTTAAAGTGTTTAGTGGTGTAGAAGTTACAAGTGCAATCGAACGTCATCATAATACGACATATGGTGTTTCATACAATAGAATTTCTAACATAGATGATGGGAGGTATTTATTAACTTTTATTTTATTTTAGTATTGAAGCTAGGTATTGTGTTAAGCACAAGTTAATAATAAATTATATAGGAAATCGCCGATTTCATCTTATGATATTCAACTTTATGAATTTTCATTTTACTATAATAACAACACTCAACCTCGTTCCTCCAATTCTGCTTTTGAATTATCGGTTGGTGAAGGAATTGCAGGACTTTGTATAACTTTAATAGATCGCAATGGTCCTGTGTTTGAATTGCCTATATCAGATAGATCTGTTATGGACGATACAGATATCCCTGGAAGCTTTTTAGAGACCTTCACCTGCGCAGAAAATCCGCTTTTCATTCGTTTAGAGTGTATTTTTAGGAA